GGTTAGAGAGTCGAGAGAGTTGTTCTCCAGATTCAGACGTCACGCAGAGACTGTCCTCCATCAGGGGGGTAGTGTTTCGTTTGAGTGGCCAAGGGATTGCGACAGCTGGGCTAGGGATGATGTTTCTGCATTCTTTAGGGAATACGCGCAAGTCTTCACCCCAGCGGTTGCGCCCTAGGTCTGAAGGACAGCAATGGTTATCCCATCAAGAAGCCATGGAAAGTCATGACCAGCAATAGCACACTCGCATCCGCGCTAGGTGCATTCAAGTGTCCGCACGAAAAAGGGTATAAACATTCGCTTGCAGCAGGTAACAAGACCGCAAAGACCGCTTTCTACCCCGAAGGCATGTGTCTCACAGTTGCCCGCGCACTGTATCCGACAGTTCAGCCCGTAGTGCCTGCGATGCCTGTCCAAGTGCCATTGCATCTCGATCACCGGGAACGTGAACAGCAGCTAAAACACATATCCCCTCTCTCCGGTTTGGAAGACATAGGTGTTGCTGTTGAGTCCGATGAAAAGTGTCACAGCATCCTTGAACAAGTTCTTGATGTTGAAAATCTCATCGCACATTCCCTAGGACAAGTCAACAAAGAGAAGGATCCTGAGATCACCGCAATGGTGACCAGACTCTTGTCACGTGCCGAAATGTTGGCTTCCCCGGAAGCTCTTGAAGCCGTTCGACTTGAAGCCACAGGCCTGGAGAAAGCCGGTGCTTGGGATCTAAATTCAGTCCGAGAGTATGATCAAGTCGCTGCTGAGGCGCGACGATCCAGTATAAAAGTCCATTTCGGGCAGTTGATGTCGCTAGCGTCCGTCAAGTTCGCCGAACTCGCGAAACACCTTCAGAAGATGAAAGGTAGGATTGTGTATCGCGGAGACTGTGCGAAAGACGAACATGGCGCGGCAGCTGTCTACCAAGAGTTGGGAGCAAATCCAAGGTCTTAATAACTGTCTCGCTTATGGATCCCTGCCAGGGAATTCTACCACAACAGCGGACGCTATAAAGGCTTATGTGCAAGCACTGCTGAAGTCCAAGTACCAAACTTGGATCACACTCCCGCCCGAGCTCCGGCCAAGGTGGTGGCGCGAGCGTTTCGTGAAACCTGTGGTTTTGCTCGTTAAAGCTCTTTATGGGCATCCTGACGCTGGCGGACTCTGGGAGGCACACCTCAAAGGTTTCATTAGTGAACTTGGAGGGCGTGAGGTCGCAGAGTTTCCTGGAAACTTCTGGTTCAAGGAGTCCGGGTTACTTCTCTCGACATACGTCGACGACTTGACGTTGGCCGGCCCCAGCCACCTTCATAAAGACTTCTGGGAAAAGTTAACAAGACTGGTTGATATAGAACCCCCAGAAGACATATACCGGGTGCTAGGCAGGAATCACCTTTTGATAGATGCTCCAAAGGACCCAACTGAACCCGATCTTAATGCCGCAATGGGCAGATTGAAAGGGGGCATGGCGTTCGACATGCGGGATTATGCCCGTCAAACGGTTGCATTATATCTTGAGGTTGCACAGCTAAAAACAGAAAAGTTGCGTGATGCCACCACTCCATTCTGTCCCGCTGGATCCCTTGATCCTGCAGATGACGCCTTGGAGGGTGAGCTCGGCTTCGCCGCTTGCCGCGTGTTAATGAAAGCCTTGTGGCTCGGCCGTTTGGCACGCCCAGACCTGGTCAAGCCCATTGGCGACCTTGCCTCATTTGTTCAGAAATGGTCTAGGAACTGCGATAAGCAGCTACATAGGCTTGTCTGCTACATAAACAGCACGGTCAACAGCACGCTAGTTGGCACAGTTCAGGATTCGACTGATGAGTTGCATCTGGCTCTCTATGTGGACGCCGATTTCGCTGGAGAACGAGACGCAAAATCAACGTCCGGAGGATTCTTGACTTTGAGTGGTCCGCATACGCATTTCCCCCTTGCGTGGGTGTCAAAAAGGCAGACCTCGGTCTCCCGATCGACAACCGAGGCGGAGATCGTATCCCTCGCGTACTCCCTTTATCAGGAGGCGCTCCCTGCGCTCAGCTTATGGGAGCTGATCTTGGACAGACCATTCCATCTCAAGATCCACGAGGACAACCAGGCGACTATCCTCGTAGCAAAGAAGGGTTTCTCATCCAAGCTACGCTGTGTCCAGCGCACCCACAAGGTGAACCTCGCGTGCATAGCAGAACAGCTTGAAAGCGAACACATCTCGATAGAATACGTCCAAACCGACATGCAGTCAGCAGACATCTTCACGAAAGCACTTCCACCCAACAAGTGGGACCATGCCATCCGGTTGCTCGGCATTCGTGTTGACCTTCCAGAGAAGCTTGAAGACGTTCGTGAAAGTAGGTCCGCTAAAGCAGCTGCCTAGTGCGCTGCAGCATGTCTGCAAATTTCCAAAAGTGTACAAGTGACTGGGCGATGCTTGAATAACTTGCGTCAGTCGTTGTGATGTAAACTTGACTTCAAGTTGGCGTGGTAATGCGCCCAAGACACTCCCTCAGTGCCGTCAATGAGGGGGGAGTCAATTATCACGATGACATTTATGGCCCAGAGGTTCATGAGGTAGGCGCTCATGTTTGCAAGGTACAAGATCAGTGACATGATCACATGTCATTGCTTTGGCTCAAGAAAAGAGCGCGTTGCACGCGCTGCCACAAGGTTAAGGGAGAGGTCGCAGTCACGGAGGGGTTCGTTCCTTTTAAGGTCCCGGGTTCCCCCGTTGTTGACAAAACTGTGTTTCCCTCTCCTTTGAGTCCATATTCCGGTTTTGCCCTTCTTCTGAGCGAATCTTTGTAGATACCTTCTGAATCCAAAGCTTGGGAAATCCGCCTCGGACCTTTCCGCTACATTTGAACTCCGGTTGTCCCCATCATGTTTGCGCAGGTTTGCTCGGTGGTCTCGAGTCGCTTGACCATGTCGGCGCTTGTTGCAGCCCTAGACGGCACTTCAGCAGTGAAGCGATCAAGAAAAACAGAATTGGAGTGCCAGGGATGCCTGGTGCAACGTGCGAGCGTTTAAGTTTGACCAGGTGCGGTCCCGCCTCATACCAGTTGATTTGTTGTAGGTGGGAATGACTGTGACATCAAAGGGTAGAAAAGACCTTGGATCAGAGGCGAAAACAAAAAGGTCTCGTTACATTTGATTTGCTTAACTGCGTCACTTGCAGCAGCGCAATGATTCTGAAACCGAGCTGTTTCAAAGCAGCTTGCTGGTGGTTAAAGCCGGCACAAGGGACATGCGGATGTCCATGTAACTTGAAGTAGTTCTTAGATCAGGTGTTCACATGAATTCAAGGCGTCAAAATCACAGCGCAATTGCTTCGTCTTTCCATGGGTAAGCTTGGCTCGGCCTATGCGCTTGAAAGGCCAGTGTGTTGGGCTTCCCCGTTGACGGAGCAAAGCTGTCCGATGCCGTGTTGGTTGGACAACACTGTGAAATTGTTGCTTGAGAAGGATGCATCATGCAGACAGTCTTGCCAGCACGGTCTATTTGAGACGCCTAACTAAGCCTAACTTGGCTTGACCATTCGCTGAGGACATGTCCTTGGAGGATGTGATCAAATCCAAAGGCGGAGCGTGAGGGAAGTGACTCAAGTGACTACCAACTCTGCTGGTCACATTGGGCGAGGGTTGACACTTGTGAGATCCTCGTTGAGCAGCAGCATTCGTAATCATGTATACCACAAATCACCGGCATAGATGCACACATGTTGCATATTGACGTTTCAAAATATGTTTTTTATTATACAGTATACTGAGTCAACCCAGCACATGTTAAGGACCCCTTTACAGTTTTCCTTGGACAATGATACCCCGCATCGAGGTCAGACGTGAGTATGCCACTGCTTCTGCTACTCCTACAGCAGCCGCTTCTACTACACTTCTGCTGCTGGTACTACTACTACTACTACTACCACCACCACTACTACTACTACTACTACTACTGCTGCTATCAGTACTTCGATTACTGCTAGCGACGATTCCGGCTAGTAAATACACCCCCGCCTCGAGGTTAACAAGGCCCAGAAGAGAGGGTCCCCTGAGTCCAGCCGTGGCCGATCCTTTGCGTTTGTGAGTTTGTCCAGCCTTGACCTTTAAAGCAACATGCAATGGACATTTGCAGTTTCTGCCTCGCTGTTTCAGGATTTTGGAAAAAGTCAAATAACAAATGAAGGGGGGGGTAACTTGCGTTGGCAGAAGTATTGGCCATCAATTTTGTTGTTGTTTTCACTTAGGGATGGCAGGCGGACAGTCGTTTGTCCAATTTTAAACATGGGATTGGCAGTTGGGCTCGGTACTAGCTGCAAGTTCTGCTAGTACTGCTAGTGTTGTTTTTAGTTGGGTACTCCTAGTACTGCTAGCGTTGCTAGTATTCACGCTGCTACTGCGACCGCTTCTCCACTGCTAACACTGCTACTATCACTACTACCAGTGGTTCCGGCAGAGTGGGTTGTCACAGGTTCCTAAACCACAAGAACTATGGTTATCTAGCTCTTTTTGTGTTTTCTCCTTTGTTTGTTGTTTTCTCATTTTATATGTGTTTATCTTGCTCTTTCTATTTTCTCATCTCTTTCTTTCATTTCTTTTTCCCTTCTCGTTTCCCTCTTTTTCTCGTCCGCATTCTCTTATCTTCCAATTTATCTTTCTGTTTCTGTTCTCTCTTTTCTCTTTCCCTATCTTTCCCTTTATTTTTGATTTGTTTTCTCTTTTCTCTATCTCTTCATCTCCCTAAGCTAGCTCTTTTTCTCTTCTCATTTCTTGTTGTTCTTTCTTTCTGCTTCTTTTTTCTCTCGCGTCGATGCCTGACCATGCGAAAGGACAAATATGACTGCCACGAAATCCGCACGTGACGCGCGTGTTTCCTCGCCATCGTTCATCATGTCCGAACTTATCTTGCGCAGAACTCCCTTTCAATTAGCAACACGAAAGTTCCCTCCGAACGTCCTGTTAAATCCAAGCTGGTCAAAGGAAGTAAAGCGACAATTGCCAGAGTGCCTCAGGGCTATGGCTTGTTTGGAGTCCGGCGTGGCATGTGGCCAGGAGGGAACAGCAAGCGCGGAGCCCGCACAGGGAAGGCCTGGTGGGGCGCTGAACCCCGGGTGTGTTTTAAACGACATGCGCGAGCATGGTCTGGGATTCAAGCGGCGGATGCAAATATTGAGGGGTCAATATGTGGTTCGACCTCTACATTTTTTGCCGACGT